TTTTTCTGCAGAAAATAATGATGCCTCTTCCAAACGAATCAAACTGGTGGATTTTTCTTAAATGGAGAGACAGTCTGGAACAAAAACCTCCGGAAAAACACGCAATCCTTCACTTTTTCTTAGAAGGAAAGTCTCCACAGATGTTCATCACCCAGTTTGAATGAGGACAACGGGAAATTCGTGGACATCACAATGGGAGCTGGTGAGCTGGATGCAACCATCTGTTCCTAATTTCGCCTTGGTGGAGGCAGAGAGACCTCCTGGAAGTAAAAACATCACCATTTTGGAAGGACCGACCCTACCAGTGACACACCTCAGGTCATGTCAAAAGCACCATGAACCTCCTGGAGCATTCCAGAGGCAACATTGAGAATATGGGTTTGGAGAAGATTAAAGAAATCCCCCTGCAGGAACAGGCAGAAGAAATAGGACCATAAAATCTCCACCTGTAGAAACACACTCGTGCTCCATCAACAAGAACACCGTTGAGCAAGACCTGACTTCTTCCAAGAAGACCCATTGAACGTCGCGGGACAAAACCCCGATGTCTATGTCACAACTTCACCAAACCCAAGAGATCCCATAAATGCAAATGAATTCAGTGGTTCCTGCTGGGTGGCAAAGAAGAAAAGCCTGGTCAGCAGTGACTTGAGCAACTCCTAAAGCACCATTCCCCGAAGACCGGAGTCACCCCCGGGGAACTTGATTTGCAACTTCCTGAGAGCGTGACTTCACGGAAGGGGCAACGTGTGGCGTGTCCATGCAACATTCCCAGTCCTGACCTCACCGTGATCCCGCAATCCACTCTTCGGGGGCGTTACTTAAACCAGTAGACCAACACGACGTCATGGGTGGGCACCACCACCTGATCTTTCCGAAGCCCCACGTTCCTCACCGTGATTCTCCAAGACTCTACATAAACTTTGGGAGTTGGACTCAACTATCCTGAGGTTTCTATTCCACCTCGAGGCGTTTTTAGGATTAAACTCAGCACAAATCCACGATATTGTTGGGACTTGAACGGGATAAAAGCGTGATGAAGAGGTCGGCTCCGAGTAGGAGGCTCCGAGCTGTTGCAACCAGAGAACTAAAGGAAGCGGTACTGAAAGAAGACACCAAAAAATGATAAAAATATTATAAATAATAATGCCAAAGCTGCACTGGGGTCTCACCCTTGTTGTCTGGACAGCCAAAGAAGACACCCAGACATCTAAAGACCAAATTTGCACAAGGGAACAGGTTCTGCTCCGATGCACGTAGGTCTGGGTTCCAACACAAGGAGAACTGAAAGCGTCGCAGGGGAAAAAAAAGAAAAAAAAATAAAAAAAAAATAAAATAAAGGAGGATTTCAAGAAGGAAAAAGAGCCAATCGCTGATGAGGTCTGCAAAACCACCTCCAGCAAAACGCTTTTCAGAGGTTCTTCCGTGACGCTGGCGTCCGCCTCGGTGCTGAGATCGTCCCTCGGGGTCCACAGGTCTGGGAAATACCCATGTTGAGTTTCGTTTCCTCAACCAAATCATCTGATTAACCGAAAAAAAAGACAATTTTGGGGCATAGTGACAAGAAAGTTTGGAGGGGAAGGGTAGCTCGTGGTGGGGTTTTTGTTGGTTTTGTGGGTTTTTAGGAGCAGAGCAGCCAAGATGCCTCCACAGAGTTGAGTAGGTCCATGTGGTGGGTAAGACGTGGCGAACCAGCCAAGGGATGGCTCCTCAGACTGGTTTATGGTGCTTTGATAGGTCAAAGTTCTTCATTCTGGAAAAAACACCGGTACAATTTGCCCAATTTTTGCCGTTTCGGCGGAGGCATCTAAGGTCTTAATCCCCTCCGTACTAACGGAGATGGGATCGAGCCAAAAATTGTTCGATGCTTGACATGGAAGCGTTCCACAGATGAATCATCATCTGGAGATGCCCATTTTCATCACCAGGAAGGATATTTTGGGTGGTAGCTCGGAGGTTTCCCTGGGACGCGGGATGAATTCCACCCTACTTGGACGGAATTAAATGGGCGCGTCTTCGTGCCGTACGAGGAAGAAAACCCAAACGTGGTATTTCGCTGCTGGGAAGTTCTCTGCCCTTCATGGAGAAGGGTGTGGCCACCCTCGCTGTGTCCTCATAGTCATAAGACTTCCTAAAATGGGCCGTAGACTGGTGGCTGATGTCCAACGCCGGTAACACCAGTGACTAATGGGTAGAAAAACCACACAACCACCAAAACCACAGAGGAGCAGACTACCAGAGGTCACACTTCACTCTCTTTCGGGGCGTGCTGATTGGCAGAAGGATTTTTTTTTATTTTTTTTGGAACCACCACCGCTGGGTTGTCCTTTTTTTTTTTTTTTCTTCTGAAGCCAGGGTATAAAATGAAAGCAAATCTCAGGAGAGGACTTGTCTTCTGACTGGAACGATGACCAGGATCGGTGAGTGACTCTTCCATGAATCTTGAGTTCTCTTGCTGGTTTTTGGTTCTTTTTTTTTTTTTCTCCTCATTTTCTTTCATCTTCAGTCCCTGGGTTGGTTTTATTTTTTCCATCTGGTGGAACATCTGCCTCTCGTGTCGCCTCCTGACGGCGTGACCACGAGCTGCCTTCTCTTCAGCTAGGTTTTTTCATGATCAGCTGGAGCTGGGTTTTGCAGCACTGTGGGCAGTGGGAGACCTCCCTTGCAAGTTTGGGGAGTGGGATGTTCCTAGTTG